CCGGCAGCACTGGCATCCGCCATGGAAAGGTTCCACGCTTTAAGTTAAAAGTCCATAAAATAAAGCTCCGCATTAAAACTGTCCACTTTAGAGATATGGATTACCATTCCTGGTCCATCAGTCACTCACCTTGAGATCTGAGCCTGGATTTGCGTGGCGTCTCAGAGTGCAGATGTGCTGGTAAAAGAAACCATTCATTTAGCAAAATTCATCATGGAGCGTATAGGTTCTAACAGCTTTACCGCACCCACAAGTCTACAACTAACCTACAATATTCACATCCTGCGTTCTGTAAAAGAGGGAATGTGGTTCTGCAGGCACACCCCACATGTAACACTAGGCAAAGCTACAGAGAGCCAGTATCAGGAAAAATCCCTTTCTCTCATGCTCAAAGTCCAACCCTATCCCAGGAACCAACAGACACTCACAAACACTTCAGATAGAATTTACTATTAGGGTCTGTACTGAGAGAAGAAACCACTGGTTACCCTTTCTTCACCCAGCTTGTAGTATCTTCCTCCATAAACTCACAGCTGCATCAATCTTTCTCTCATTTCTCCAACACACTGCATGAACAGTTTGCCTAGAACCCTTATCTGGCCTGCCTCCACCAGGCAGTAGTAAGCACTCTCTTCCCCAGTGACCTCCACGAAATTTTGGGATATTTGAGTTCCCAGTTGGCTTACACTAGGAGATCAAACAGCATCCTATGTATTACAGCTTTAAAAACTCACGCTTTCCTTTGAGGATGAGGATCCGCTTCTTGCAAACCTTCCATTTCCAAAATAACAGCGTGCCCACAAGTAGCACTATCACAGAGAGAACCACTCCCCAAAGAACTAGACCTATAGCACAGAAAGGGAAAGGGAGTACAGGAAAGGCTAAGAAAAGGTAGAGGGGGAACTATTGGTAGATCTATGTGTTTAGACAAAGAACCACAGACAACATTTCACAAGTTGTAGGGGGTTTGCAGGAAGCTCCCACATAAAAAATGCATTTACAAAAGATGTATCGAAATAGAACATGCTAGACAGAGCAAATACTTTATCTTTGTTACCTCCCGTTGTCATCTTCCCCTTGGCCGAGGTGGGAAAAGTGCCAGGCACAGCTTTCTCCTCTGGAGTTGAACGTAAAAGGATACTAGCAACGGTCACCAGGTTATCCTCAAACCTCCTTAGGTCAGAGTTACTTGTCTCATTGCTGAATCTCATGGACAGAGCGCTTGGGGTGAGGTAGGTGGGCAATTGGTCCACACAAACCTGATCGTGTGTGGCATTTCCTTCACTTAGTGCTATTTTGTTCAACTTGGCACAGCTAGGGAATGAAAGAGAACAGTGCATTGGCGCTAGAGGAAACTGTCATGCTATAAGATAAGAGTATTTTCCCTGCGACAACATGTTGCAAAATGGTCATTTTTGTACCACCTGCATTTATTGCTTTCAGTGAAAAAGTTATTAACCTTCTTCTCACCCCTGTGGCATTAATTCTTGACCTGGGTGCAAACCTGATACTCACATGCGTGTATAATTCCACTGTACTTTAGTAAACTAAAAATGAGGCAAGAGGGATTCCTTCCTTCCTCCAGTACAGAGCTGTGCAACAGGTATAAAGAGAGGCCTTCCAAACTCCGCACATGGGCCCAAAGCTATCCCATTACCTCTAAGATGAATTTGTATACTTTGAACCAGAAGTGACAGGTGTCCCTTTTCGTCCTTTATTAACTTTAATTAATTAGATAATCACTTAAAGGAACTATGGACTTACTTTGTGTGGGGCTTGCAGATGTCGGTGCTGGAGTTTTGATCAGAGAAGGTTCCAGAAGGACATGCTTCACAAGTAACATCATTTGTTGAGGTGCCTGAATAAAAACAATGACTGAGGACCGACCAACCAAAATGCATCAGGTCCAGGCCTAAGGCCGAGATCAGGAAAGGTAAGCTAGACAGGTGCGACTTCCTACCTCTGACTTTGACTCCAAAACCAGGCTTGCAAACAGTGTGCTGCTGGCACCGTATGCAGGTGTTCAGAACAGGGGTTTGACAGAACAGGCCCGGTCGGCACTCACACACACGGCTAGAATTGAAGGAGCAGGGCTCTTTCTCCACAAGGTCAGATTCTGTGGGGAACAAACAGATGCGGTAACAAAGGATCACCATGCAAGGAAAACACAAAGCAGGGGCCAAAGATGAGCAACATCAGTTCACAGGCTCAGGAAGCACAACAGCCTGCTGGCGCTCTTCGCGATGGCAACTGAAGTCATGAATAATTGGAGAAGCCTCTAGACAATGGCTTGTAATATAAGACAGAAAGCAGAAATCAGACTTGGACAGCTTTGGATGAGAGAGTTTTTAGTTAGTCCCAGGTGACACACAAAGCGATACTGATTATGTGCAAGGTAGCATTCTGCTCTCCAAATCCATAACCAAGGATGGATGATTTTGCTGCTGGAAATGCTAAATGAATAAAATATAAATAAAGTGCAAATAAAATATATAGAGAGAATATAACCGTGCGGTATGTGTGAGGGAAAGCAAACCTTTTGCACATGATACACAAGCGTCACATCGTGGCTTTTGGAATTCTGCATTTACATATTGTTCAGGTCCACATCTCATGCAGTCTTCATTTGGGTCCCTAGGACATGCTTTCTTTTTAACATAGCCTGGAGAAAGAATAACAAAATATGCAGGATACCTGTTCAGAATCACAGGAGACAACCATCCTGAAGTGTTCTTGTATGCTCATTTACCTGCTAGACACACTACCACAGTCTTCTCTTTCTACCTGTCATTCGGTTTCTCCAGTGCATTTTTGCCTTTCCCATTTAAGCGTGAAGGGATCACAGCTGTCCTGTTACACAACACTACGTGCAGCATTATCACAGTCAGTACGGACTGCTGCAGAATGGGCACATGGCAAGTCATTTGCTGACAGTTAGAAAAGACCCAAGTCTGCAGCGAGGGCAATACTGTCCTGCCATTACTAAATTCCCAGGCAACTGTTTTCCATGTTTTCTTCTTGACTATAGCAACCAAGTCCTGATATTTTGCTACCTAAGGCATCACTTTTCCTTTCAAAAGCTGCCAGAATCACCTAGGTGCTCATGGATTCACACAGGGACAACCCCATCTCCCATGTTCAGAATGGGAGGTTACAAGATGGTACTTCTTGAGCTGTGCCCTATATACCCCTAGCAGGATTGCAACAGTTTGCTTTCTGAGCAGTCCTGCCAGTTTTACAGTTGCCTTGACAGTTGTGAGATGGTTTAATTTTCCAATTGTTTTCCTTTAAACAAATCAAATTACATATGTATGTCTTTCTGATGCTGGATGTGTACGCTATACGCTTTCTGTGCTCAACACTTCCAACTCACCTGGACTCATTGCTCACAGTCTGCAAACACATTATCCTGGATCTCACAGACCTTCTGTGTATATGCAGCAGGCATGAAGTTGAGCAGCTGCTGAATTAGATGATCTCTGGAGGTCTTTCCCAAACTTAAGCTATTGTATGACTCTATGTTCATGGCTGGTAATAATTTTCTAGTGACTAGCTTTTAAAAGCATCCATCTGGCAAGCTAGGTACAATAACCAGCTAGGAGTATGGGAAAGGCTGGGACAGAAGCATTCCTAATGTTTCAGCTCCTGAAACAAAGATGAGGTATTCTACACTGGTCATTAATGCCAAAGAAATTAGAAGGTGCAGTGGTCAGCTGTGACCTTGTGGCCTTGCCAGGAGGTGGAAATAACTACCAGAGGGTAAGGAACAGTGGCAGTTGCAGAACCAAAAGGAAAAGCTAAAGCAGCAACATAAAGATAGGAAAGAGTTGAATGTTTCACAGGTGGAAAACAGAAGGAGAGAAATGAATCCCAGTTTCAGCATCCAGCCTGCATCACCCAATCACAAAGAGGTTAACTCTCACCTCCTCACAGCAAGGAGGAACCTGGCAGGGAAATAACTTACCTACTGTGCATTTTGGCAAGCATGATGTAGGAGTGCAGATAAAACCAGCTGTGCTATATTTGACCTACTAAATACCACCAGACAAACCTGAACCACATCAGTCCCACCTTCCTCAAAACTACTTGTCTGAGACTATTCTTTTCAAGGTGGGGGCTGGTTGCTGGATCTCAGCACTCAAGCTGCACACATGTGTACCTGCACGTGTGTGTCATTTCTCCCTTCCTCCCCCAACGACCCAAAAGCTTTAACGTCAGTTATTTGAGATTTCCTGTACACATGGGTCCCTCCCTTGGGGGATGCGTGCCCCAGGTGCAGTAGCTTTGAAGCTTGTCTAACAGTGTCTTCTGGTGCTGTTCTCCACTGATTGTGTTCATAGCTCAACAACCAGATAAAAGCCTGAGCAGTAGGAATACCAGCTGCAATCACCTGTACAGAAAAATGTACTGAAAGTAAGTAGATGAAATAAGTGTTTTAAGTGGTTTTATTTTGTGAGTACGTGCATTCATTCACTCCTGAGGATTTGTTGTTAACTGTGGGCAGGAAATTATCTTGAGTGTTGACTGCAGCACTATCTTGTGGAGCTAGATAGCTGATTTAGAGTCTAAAACAAAAAAAAACCCAAGCAAACAAAAAAGGTAAAAAAACCATAAAGAGAATAAACAGAAGTGAAGTGGAATACCAACTTCTGCATAACATGAGCTGTTCTAGCATAGACCATTATTTCCCATGAAAGTCTCTGTTCCTCCCCTTGACAGGAGGGAAATACTTTGTTCTGTGATGACAGAAAGAAAATATTCTTCTGGTATTCCAGGTATGAAGCCTCATTTTACCTGCACAAGGATTAAGTACATGAGCAGAGATGTGGCAATTATAGAAATTGAATAAAATGATCCTTTGAGGTTTGGCTTGAAGTTTATCTTGAAATTGAACATGAAATTAACTTTGAAACAGAGGAGTGCTTGCACGTGGGCCAGTGTGCTCAGATGGAAAGCTGTACTTCTGTGGGGTGGAACACCAAGAAAGTAAAGCCAGGCTGCACCAAGAGTTTGAGATGCTCCACTTTGATTAAATGGAACTTTAGAAAAGCTTCTCTTTCTTTGCAGTGAGCAGTTGAGTTAGTAGCAGACATGAACAGGTTATTGCTTGAAGGAGTAGTGGAAGATTAAAATGAAAAAGGATTCTTATGAGTTTCTGTTGTGAAGGAGGCCCTGGAGGATGTGAAGAGATGTCCAAGACTGACACGAGGATGTGGCAACAAAATGAGTTTCAAGAATAAGCAGAGGTGAAATGATTGAGACTGCTGGCTCATGACAGCCAGATGTAAATCAGATCTCTGCTTTTCACAAGAATTCACTATGACATCTCTCATGGGAGCTTTTGCAAAATATGGTTTTGAAGGAGAAAAGAGCTTTCCTTGGGACCCGCTCAGAGTCAGATCCCCGCCGCTTTTCTTCTTTTACGGGACCAGTTTCTCCATCCCTTGGTCTTATTTACCTATACAACTTTGGAACGATTCTAGTGGTTTGGCCAGCAGTACAAGATGTCCCAGTGGGAACCCTAATGTAACAGCATGCAAATGCTAGCAACCAAGTGCTAAACCCCTCTTTATTATTAGAGCACAAATAAATGTCAAAAATTTCCTTTAAAAAAAAAAAAGAAAAAGAAAACATTTCTATAAGAAGAGATTGATGATGGTGAAGTACCATAAAATGCCCCACCCACTGAGGGGTTTTTTTGGCCAATAGGGGGAGTTTCAGACATTTCCAGAACTCTTGTCTCACCAAGGTGTTTCCTGCTTCTGACCTCATGTGCCTCTGAGTCACAACTAGCTCCTAGCAAAGCTCGCTGTGTCCCTTGATAAGGGGCTGTTCCCTTTCTCATGTGAGACACTTTCTAAACTGTTTTGACTATGAGGATAATGACAGATTTTCCACACGTTCGTTTTATATTTTTTGTCTCTGATCAGAAACTTATTTAGCCTAATTTCAGTGTGCTATTTCACACCCTGAGGCAAGTTGAAATGAATTCTTAGACCTGCCCACTTCTAGCTACTTCAGAGTCTCAAATCAACTGATAAAAACGACATTAAAAATTCTAGCAAGTTATCTTGTTTGCAATCTACAGATTGCACACAGACTGAACAAGTGCAGGACAGTGGAGAACCAGTTCACATCTGGATCCACACTAAATAGTGATTCGTGAAATTGCGCTTTTCTTCAGGGACAAAATGCAATTCTGCAGAAACACATGGTTCCTACTATCTCTATGAAAAAGGCTCCATGTTAATTTGACTGCATTAAAAACATACTGACCTGAGGGACACTGGTAACAGCAGCTTCGTGAAGTTTCATCATAGAACAAATTCTCAAGTGCATCACAGGAATGAGATGGTGTTAACAATGTCTAGAAATTGAAACAGACAAAAGACACAATTAGAAAACAGTTAGTTCTGTATTAGAGCAGCTCCCAGTATCTGTCTCAAGTGATGGTAGTTGGCAGATGGTAAGGAAAAGCTTACATCTTTTTGAAAGTTCAAGTATCCCCAAAGCAACTAAATTACTGTTGCCCATATGCTTAAGCAAAGATTGCAATATTGAGTGTATTTAGCAATAATTCAATACATGTCTTCACTCAGCAGGCTCTTTTCTCTAAAAGTCATTTAAACACAGGAATGGAATACTGTAGCGCAACCTGTGTATCAAGCATTTCAGCGCTCAGAAACTAACTCCTTGTTTCGTACAATACAAAAGGGTAGTGGCATTGCCCTACAAAAATGTTTTTCAGCCAATGCTCCAAACAACCTTTGAAACATAGCTCCAGGATCACTAAGATCACTAAGAAAAGCTTGTCTATTAGTCTGCGTCTCCTTTAGAAATCTTGTAGCAGTTAGCAAATTAAAAAAAAAGGCTAAAAATCACTGTCCTGAAATGATCCCCTGTTAATTTGAGGTAAGGATTTTTTAGAAAGTAAAAAGAAAGAATCCCTAACATCTGTAACAGATTTCCAGATCTGTGTGCACTGGAATAAGAGGTGGTGTCATAGTCAGCATCATTTAAATCTGGCTAGATTGGCTGTAATCCACAAAGATAAATCTTGTTTGCAGCAAACAAGTCTTTCTGTGCAGTTATTTATGTAGACATAATGCTTGACTTTAGAGACCTAAAGATGTGTTTATTATAAACCAACAATTTGTTTTATTTATCATTTAGGGACAAATCCTTCACTGAGAACAAGAGGTTTTTTGCCTTGAAAAGAATACTGCAAATAGTCACACAATGAAGCCCTTATTCAAATAAGTAATCCCACTTCTATTATGAGTGAAGGTTTTCAGGAACAGCCTCTGGCTGGAGTACATAACTGATACTTGTTTAGTTAAAAAACCCACACACACTAGTTCTAATATTAGTTTAGAAAATGAGACTCAGCTATGAATTGTATCAAGAAGCATATAATAATACTTCATTTTTGTATAGCAGGGCGACTGCATGCTCTGGGAAATTACAGTGCTACAAGTTTTCTGATGAGCAAATCTGATTTTTTAATTTGGCATCTCCCTTAATAACCCCCTAAAAATGTTGTTATCTGAATTTCATTTTCAGTATTTGCTAGAAGGTATAAATGGCATTTTTTTTTTTAAAGACTCAATCAGCAGATTCCCCAGAGATTTTCACACATGATACTGGTAGAGCAGTTAAATATTTCAGAAACCTACATCTCACTTTCTGCAGACGAATTTCCCACTGGCCTTTGAAATAATACCTACTGTCAGCTACTGCCTTTGTATGCAGTGCAGAATCTTACTACCTAACTAATTTCACAGCCATATTCTCCTGTTTAATACACTGTTCTTTTCACGGCAGGACCACAAAACACAGAAGTTATTTAACTTGCCCCAGGTTACATCAGAAAACAGGAACTTTCAGTCAAGGAGGAAATTAACAAAAGGACAAGAAAGAGAAACATATTGAAACCATTAAATTTCATCGACCTCCAGTAATAGAACTGAGAAATCCTGCCTGACACATTTCTGCACTAACCACCAGGCCACACAGCCTCCCTACAAAGCATTTTTGCTAGCTGACTGTATAGAGAAAATCGCAGATGTCTGCTTGCTCAGCCTGACTCAAATCAAGTTTACAAACGTGCACTCTGTATTTTTCTTTTCTGAAGAGGAAGCCCTAGAGTGTAGGAAAAGGAAGTGGAATCTCCTTGCATCTGCGTGGAGAAGCACCCCGGTTAGCCAGCCACTCTGAGACTAAACTGAATAACAGGAAATGAGCCGAGACCAGTCACTAGACAAGGGGTCATTCAGGAGGCACCTCAGTGATACGAAGCGAATTAACTAGTTTTATAAAGAAAATTTAAGAAACAACAGCATCCTGGCTCTGGCTAAATCCTCCTGGATTAGTTTCTCTGTAAGAGCTATGGGAAGTCACCACAAAAACTGCTCTTCTCTTCCTGCTTCTCCCGGGGAAACAACTTTGGCTGCAAGTGATGTTCAATTTTAAATCGGGGTGGGAACAAAATTATTGAACGATTTATGCAGCATATAAGCTTACAGCTTATTTAATTGTCTCTTCTGGGGTTTAAATAAAGGAATAGGGTCTGTGTAAAAGTGTGAGGGAAGGGCTGCTTTTTAAAAAGTTACCTTGTCTAAAATATTGAAATCAGGAGTTTAGGATTAGATTCCACTGTTAGTTACAGCAATGCAAATTCTGATCATGAATTTGAGCTGATGCTAGTGCTGTGAGAAATTACAGCATGAACTATGCGTACATACTACACAAATTATGAAAATATACGTACGAGAGTTCTCAACCTTTTTTCCCTTTCCACAAGAGGGCAGCTGTACACTACAGCCAGCTACATAATATATGACATCCACAGCTTCAGAACAAATGCTGCTTTCAAGCATCCAGTTACCAGCGCAACTTTGTAGCCACCTTTACTGTTTACTGAGCCAATCTCAAGGTGCTCTGCTGTAAAAAGAAGTCGTTTTAACACATCATGACATGATTTCTATGGCTGAGAAAGCACCTTCTGAAGACCCCACCACTTCTAATCCCGCAGCTACCTGCAAAACGTCTTTAAGAGTTGCCATCTGTTCAGTAGATGTGTTTCATGAGCACGGAGCTTACTATTGATCCTTTCAGTGATAAATAATGTACCTATCAATGCTCAGCATCAGTCATCATCTCCCCATTCTCGTCATTTATTTTCCCTCTAAATCCTAAAGCTGCTTGATTCCTAACGTGACCTGTAAGAGCAATGCAATGATGCAAAGTTCTGCTCTTAAACTAAGCAGAAAGGTTGGCCCTTTGTAGACAGCATACTTTAAGGTAAGGACCTAAGTATAAACCAAGCCCCCATACCTCTAGCACTTCAGGCTTAAAAGCTCAAAATAAATTACATAAGCAAAGCTGTCAGTGTGGAAAGGCAAGTGTCACTAAAAATGATATGGGCTCTGCTTCTTAACTTATGCAAGGCGTTTTGTAAGCTAAATTTCAAGTTTTCATGTATCTGGAATAAAAAGTCTTGCACTAAGAACCCACAAAAACTTCCCTGAGTTTTTGGGGGAGTGAAACAAATTGGTGCCTACAAGCAAAGAGCATGTCTTAAAGAAATGGCAGAGGTGAAGGGCCAAGGTCTCAAAATGTTTTAAGTCTTCCATAAAATGATGGTGCCAATGCATTTTCTGCAGAGGTCTGATTACACTACTTTTGGGAAATGGGTGAAGGAAAGTCAGCCATACAAGTGTAAAGTAATTTTCATTTTTCTGTCTATGTGTAATGAATACCAGGGTAATAAGTTAACTAAAGCAAAAGGTAACAGCCAAAGATATGAAGTGAAAAGGGAACCAAAATGTGCATTATTAGTGGGTTGCAATAGGCCTGAACTGTACTAATTTACCCACTCGACAACTGAACATGTGAATTACCTCAGTTTCACCACCTGTAACTACTCTTCCCACAAGTAAAATACCACCTCTGACATCTCATCTACAGTTAGGGAAATTAGGGTGCAAGTTTGCAGTAAAATACTGGCTTGTACAATCTTTCATTTTGATGAGCTCAGTATTTCTAATTAGGAAGACATTGCTGGAAACAGTTCACCAACAAACACAGGGAATTCTAGATTTTATATTTTCCAGTCCCACTCCCTTCACAACTCAGTGCTTCTGGAAAGACACCTTATGCATTTTCTTGATTTGACAATCATGTTAGATGTCTGTGTGCAAGAAGACTGCAAGTGATATGATTGATATGTTTCAGTTTTTTTGCTCCTTAGCTGTTGGCTACTCCTTTTTAACAGCAGAAATCTAGACATCAACCATCAAATCCATACAAATTTGGAGGGACTGCAAAATACTCCATGCCTATTTGTCTTGCTGTTCCTGGACAGAATAACTGAGTGCTGGGGTTACGAAATATTGTAATGCTGATTAACCATTACTGTTAAAAAGTGAAAAGTATTTCAGTGGTTTGGCCAAAAAAAGCATTGGATTTCCACAGAATTATGGAAGCACCATATGTGCATAACTTCTCAGAAATTAAGGCTGTTGAACCAACATGGCTATTTCCAATAGCAGCTTATCATTTCTATATAGTGGTGAGCCTGCTACAAACTGCAGCTGGAACACAAACCAGGTTTCTAATCCTCACCTGGTAAATATCAAAATGACTTGGGTGAACTGCTGTCTGAGTAGTGCAGTACTGAGCTTGGACCTCCAGGCTCAACTCTGTATAAACCCACAGCAACGTGGCAGGGAGGCCACCGCAAGGCTGAGGACAGGGAAAGGCCCTGTAGCTTCACCTTCAAGGTTGGTGGTTCCGTTCCTGGCTCTTATCATTGCTCAGCCTCAGATGTGTTACTTTAAAGTCCTTGCTGTACTGGGTCCAACGTCTACCTACAGTTATGGGTATTTTTGTGGTGGCAGCACCAGGGAACCCCACGTAGGCTCTATAAGGGCATACAAGACATAGTCCCTCCAGTCCCACTGGGTCCTCAACTGTAGATTTGCTTTTACCAAATCTTGTCCAAACTGTTGCCAATGGTGCTGTAAACACTTCTTATCCTGCCAATACTCGCAGTCCAATTGTTATGGGGAGGACACCTGCTACCAGGATAGGTCAGTCTGCCATAGCAGAACTTACAGTTTATGTTCTCTCTAGCTTTTCCAGTGAAACATAAAGGCATCTTTCCACTCAAAAACTTGGGTAAGCAGTTTGCTCAGGAGGACATCACATGCTGTTTGTAATCAAAAGAGGCAGGCGAAAAGCTAGTTGTCTTCTAACACCATGGCTACGAAGGAATCTGGTGAAGCACAGAATGATCCTGTTTACATGAGGGAAATTCTGAGAAAAATTCCCACCAACAGCAGCAGCATTGATCTCCCCAGCACACATAAATACTGTTTTGAGCTGCATAGACCTGTTTTGAGCTGCATTACCAACGGCTGCAACTGTGGGAGCCTGCTATGTACCAGGTTTCCGGTATGGTGGCTGAGATGATGGTAGCCAACAGTGGAAGCTTTTAAAGAAAATGTCCCTCTTGTCAAGCCTTAATCAGAACAGGGATCACCTGAAAGAAGAGAGGGAATCACAAAAGCAGTGAGGAGAAAAAGGAAAAATTAATGTAAAAAGTGGTACTTCATCATATGAGGGCTCAAAAAGAACACAGCAGGAAGAAAAAGCGTATGTGCTCTTATTTCTCCCATTGCCAACAAAAAATCTCAGCATTAAGACATATCTAATATATTTCTGGTTGTGAGTGCTTAGACAAAACCTTGCATTATAAAATATTGAATAAGACACATAAGGTTTAACTACAAAATAGTGAAAGTCTTCTGCCTTGGACCATTATCCCATTTGTTAGTATGAACTTAAGTCAAAGAATCCTTTTTTAATACATTCTAGGATGACAGTGGAAATTTAACCCTGTCTCATAAAAAAATACAAACTTAATTACTTTGACTCAGGATTGTGTGAGTATCACTAATAAAACTCATTTTTCCAGAGCAAAACCAGTTTATTTAAATTAAGACTCTTTGTTAGGCAGAAGCTGAAGGTTAAGGTTTGACTTAGCAGGTCCTAGTTGCTCATAAATAGCTCTCGAAATGAAAGGGAGGGATAAAGCAAAGGAGACAGAAAAAAGTTTCAGCCTCGCATTACAAAACCTGCACACTATCGCCTTCTTACAAAAAAAGCACCAGCTGTGAGCGTTGGGGTGGGGTGTGGGGTTCACCTTCTTGATTCCATGGTGCCTGTGTGTAGAGGCCCACAAAAAAGAAAGTGCTAAGAAATTACCCGCTTACAGTGTTGTCCATTTCTCCTGGTTCCAGTACGCTTACAGAAATTGTCGATTAGCCAGTGACAGAAGATTCACTTCATCATTTTTGCCCCTTACTACTTAATTTTGTAGGGAAGGATTTGTGTGTAAGAACTTCCACTTCTGCCCCATTCCCTCCTCTTCTTCCTGGAAACACTAAAGAGTGTGGTTTAATCCATGCTCAGCAGCAACCAGTACGTGGCTTTGCTTCATCAAGGAAATCTCCAATAAGTTTTACAGAACAAACTCTCCTCACCTCTGCAAGGAACAGAATGAAATGCAGTAACCTCAAAATCCTGTTTAATTAACATTAAAAGTATTTTTCATCTTTTGACTGTCCCTCCTCCTTATCCACTCTTGTCTGAATCTCCAGACAGACAGAAACAGAACTCAGGTTTTGCCAGGGAAATTAAAAATTCTAGCACAATTTCACTTTTTAAGGCATTGTTTCCTAGTGTTTCCTGAAGAAGAGAGAAGGAGACGTACATTTCCCTGTCCCCTCTCCAAAAGATAATCCAGTCTCAATGAACAAATACCAATTTTATCCCAATGGCATACAGTATTGTCCATTAGTACTTACAGTTCTGTTTGTTAATACATATTATAAAAAAAAATTAAAATTCAAGGAAGATCACAGAAGTATTGGCGGGTAGGGGCGAGGAATCCAGCTGTGGTGGACAGTAGGTCTTTGTCCTTCCCTCTGATTCTAAGGAAACTCTGAATGGACGGGTCTGTACTAAGAATGGATTAGCAAAGTGGGAATAAGTGTCTATTACAGCTATGCTAATCCTGTGGCTCTTTGCCAGCCAAGGGTGCAATCCCACTTCCCCTCTCTTGCCTGTACCCCTTCTCCTCCCCCTCTAACTCCTTGATTGTTTAAGACAGAGCAATCGTGTTTTGAGAGGACGAATCAGTTCTAGGAGTTCATTTGACTAAAAACTGCTTTCTGAATTTGCAAAGTTGGTTTTCAGGGGATTACTGTACTGAAACAACTCACCCTGTGGCTGCACAGTCACTTGCACTAAATTCAATGCAAGAAAGTTGGTGGCACTGTGTAGCCAGGAGCAGGGTCCCCCCTTTGTGTGACAGGTCTCTGCTGATGGGCATAGCTGTAACCAGAAACCTCACAGACATTTCTGCATCTGTATACTATATCAGAATTGATTTGATCTGGATTGGACATGAGGACACAATGCACAGTATATACTGCTTTATGCCAGCTGTAGAGGAACAGATAAATATTTAAACTAACAAGAAAGTAAGCTAGTGTAGTAAACAATTGCCAGCATAGCAGAAAGCCTGCCACTACAAAGTTAATCTGTTCACATTTTTTGATCAAATTTCAACAAGCCATGAGTCTGTATCAGACTAGTAATCTGCATCTGGTTTTGCTCTAATAGAAGGAGTTCTTAAATTGGATTCGGTGTACTGTTCAACTGGAGGGAGACAGAGACTGAATTTCACTAATCTTTTCCTGCATGCACTTCAGATAAAGGTTTTTGATTTAGCAGGAGCTGGAATACATCTTTTGAAAGAGAAGACCACAATTCATATCCTTTTCAGACTGCTCTGTAACAGGATGGCCAGGGATCCCTTGGCTTAGTGCTTTCATTGACCTATCAAGCCAACTATTTTTTTCTTTTTTTAAAGCACTGCAGATCAAGGCCCAATTAAAGAAAGCAAACGTATTTGATACAAAACATTTTGGTTTTTCAGTGCTTGCTTTTGAGAATTTGTTTAGGAAAACAGGCTTTTTGTAGCTCTTCTCACTTCCTTGTATCTACAAACAAGTTTGCTATTCCAATTTAAATAATGGCAATTGCAAAGATGGTGCTGAATTCAGTGGGCTACTCTGCAATTCAGTCAGGACAAGGTTTGACTCATTTATTTATGGTCTTTTGAGCTCATAGAGAAAAAATGATGGTGAGGCAGAGTAAGAAAATCAGCTTGCTACAAATGAGCTGTAAGTCAGGAAGAAAGCATATTACAGTAAAAAAAAAGTCTTCTACCAGCATGCGCTATTCTAGAACTGACTAATACTGTAGCAAAACAGTTGACTCCCTTTCAAGCTTCTATCCAAATTCTGACAGTACAAAAGAAGCTGATAATCTAAGACTTCAAGTAGTCAAGCTTCATCTGCTTGACAGTAAAGACATTATTAACAACTGCGAGTTAACTGCATATTAAAACAAACAAAACCCAAACTATGGACTCAAGTGGGGTGGAATATGGTTTAAAATATGACCAAGAAGCTGTGACTTCCTCACATTAAACAGTATCACTTGTACTCCAGTAGCAGTAGAAGCAAGTGTTGCTGTGATAGAGGCAATACAGAAAGCCAGTGAAAAGCCAGTTGCTTATCCCAGCAAGATCTACACGTTTATTCCAGGTAACTGATGATTTTGCAGTGAGTCTGAATGTTGACAGTGAGTATCAGAAAACCAAATTTTCTCTCTGCCCCTTTCATTTTGTGAACAAAACACCAAAAGTGATGTCAAATAGCAAAAATGCCACCTTTTTTCCTATCGCCTTTCTCCTAAAGCAGTTTGCATTCAGGAGACCGGACAAGTTTATCTGAATGCCCTCCTAAGTATTCCACAGGTGAGTAAGAACTACAGACTCCAATCCTATAGAAGAACAGATCCTTCTGTATTTCAGGAAGATGACAGTGGCAGGACAGATAACCAGGGCAAAGTAGAGCAAACTTGCGATGTGGGAGGGGAATTTACAACTAAAGACACAAGGGTAAACTCCCACTCTTACCAAAAGAGCCAGGAGGATCTTTTTCAAATGTCTACGAAGAGGATGCAGGACTTGGTTATTTTCAAAGATCTAATCGGAGTCCATTTCTTGTAAAAAATCTCCTGACAGCCCAAGTGATGTGCTATATCATTCAGTTACAAGTACAGACAGGTATCTTAGCCTAATATATGCTCATATTTCCACTGCAAGGGAAAAGGGCCAATTTCTGGATCCAACACAGCGTGCAATTACTTACCTACTTGACTTTACCTGTGCAAGGAGCCTCTGCAACTGACCTTTTTTTGTGTGTGTGTGCACGCGTAAGTGTCAGCCAGGGAAATCACCTGGATTTATGCCAGGCGCTGAGGGCTCATTGCCATGTGATCCACTAGGGAGGAGGGGGTCAGTGGTGGTGGGGGGGAAGCAAACCCACAAAAGATGATACAATCTGAGCAGGGAGCTAGCTTGCATCTACAGCATCAGTTGAGTGCGACTAGTGGGTTTTGTCTATTTTAAGTCAATTTGATGCAGAAATCATAGCCCATTCATGAGGAAGTCAGTGCCAGAGGGGTGGGCGGTTGTAAGGAGGAAGGTATTTTATTGTTTTGTTTGCCTTTACCCCTTTCGATTTGCCAGCCCTGACCCACATCAGCAGAGTAAGCAGAAGCTCTCTGAACCAAGCTCTGCAAGGAATGTGCCTGTCACAGAGCACCTGGCTATCCAGGCAAAAATAAAAGCCACTCACCCAAACAAATGAGAACACTCTCCCACCCATATCAAATCTTTCCTCATTCCCTAGCTGTGATTTGCCTGGAGGCACAGTAACACTAGCAATATCAACAAAAAGTTGCAGATCATAGCTTGTATCCTCTGCTCCTGCCTGCAAAGTTCCCAGAGAGGGCAAACTCTCCTGGCTGCTCTGCTTTATACCTTCATCTCCTGACTGCTTTATACCTTTTATCACCCTGTGCTGCACAAAGCCTGTTTCTGTGGATGCCCACTACCCAGCACCCAGCCTATGGGCAGGATAGCCCTGCAGCCCAGGGTGCCCCCAGACTTTCCAGGCTCCTGCATCCTGAGGGGCTGCAGGACCCTGGTGCCACCCTGCCTTACCTGTGGGGCTGTCTGGATATCCTGGAGAAGCAGCAGGAGCCACAGTCCTAGTGTCAGGCTGCAGGCAGCCATCCGCGGTGGTGTTAAATCTCCCTAGGTCCCAGCATCGCAGGTTAGACAGCCAGGTTGCTCCTCCTGGAGGCTGAGATCTTCCCAGGGTCTAGCCCAGTCTTGCTCCGTGTCTGTTCATTCAGTCCAGAGCCATTCCAGCTGTTCAAGACAAGCAGGAGACAGGCTTTGAGACTCAAGCAAGCTGAGAAAACAATTTAGAAGGAAGGGGGGGGGGGGGGCCTAAAAAAGAAAAGTAAAAAAAAGAACAAAACAAAACCGCGTCAATCATTAGCCCCAGAGCTGTCGGGTTTCTGTGAGTCGGTTGCATGCATCAAGGTTGTCACCCGAGGCACACGGCTGGCTGTGCAGAAACATAGGCTCCTGAGTCATCTAGGCTGTCCTCAGAGAGCACTTCACAACCCCAAAACCTTGGCCAGGCATCAGTCCAAGCCCTGCCCCGTCCATCTGCCACACTCTCAAGAGCTGCAACCAAGCCTCAGGAGAGTTCCCAGTAAGAAACACTCATTTCTTCAGTACAGTCATTTTACTCCTGTTTGGATGAGTGTGTGAAAACTCACAACCAACCAGGGTGGCTCCATGAAGGTTTAGGCTTTACACATTGCCATTTAAACACCAACATACCGCAGCCCATCCTCTTGGGAATCCTTCTCTTTCCTCCAATCCCACTTGAAATCAAGTCCTGTCGCTGACAATCATCCCTTGGACTGCTCGTCATTTCACTCACTTTGGTACTCTGGATAACATTTTTTGGCTCTGGAGCCTGGAAAGATTTCAGTTGGTTTAAGGTGTCATGAAGCTTTCTTATCTGCCCTAAAAATTTTGTCAAAAGTAAAAGTTAGCCACTTCAAAAAAGGGCAGACTGCCTTGAAAACCTCTCTGAGGTACTCAGGAAAATAATGAGAATTTGAATTCTCACACCCATGGTTTTGTGCTTCTCACCCTTATCAGCAAAAAGAAAAACAAAAGAAACGAGAAAAGATTGAAAGTCAGATAATTGATTATTAAGACCCACAGCTGCCTCACTGCCATCACAACAGAGTACCAAAGATGAGAGCATTCCACAGGGACCTGGGATGATATAAATATCTTCTTTAACTCAGAGTTGTAACTCTTTTCTTTTTAACTGCTTACCTCTATCTCTTTACTACAGAATACTGTCTTATAAAACCCAGGCATTTTCAGAACATTGCATACTGTGTATTTGACACATAAACCTAACCTCCTTTCTTCACTCTGTCAGGTTACTTCTCAGCTTCTAAGCTCTCTTAGCTATAAAAGCTGATTGCAGTAAGTATGCCTTTAAGGTCTAGAGACAGTTAAGTATTTGAATGTCCAAATATTACATTCTTGGCTTTCCTAATTAAATAATGGGCTAGAAAATGTCTTAATCTTGTGTAATAATACGCCATTAGGCATTTCTCTCAATTTATGAGTGCAGTTTTAAACAACATAGTAGTCAGGGCAATTGGTGAGCTCTGCCTTTTTCTTTTTTTCTTTTTTTTCTTTTCTGATATGCTCCTATCTAAGCTTTTCTAGCAAAAGGACGGGAATCAACATAAGACACAGCCTGGAAAGTTTTAGCCTCTGTAAGTTATACTGCTGAGGTCAACATATCTGATACAAAAACTAAGTATCCATGCACAAAAAATCATGTGTGAAAGACTTTCCCAGGACTGGCAAGAGGGAGATTTTTCTGGCCTGTTTTCCAGAAAAAAATACGACTGAAATGAGCATACTGAACATTTTGTATATATACCTATGTCAGTTCCTTTTTAATCAATGGTGTCAATAATTTTTTAACCCATTGGATAAATTCAATCAAATTTGGCTGAGGATGCATCATTCCATGTCCAAAGTGAAACCAGGCTTCCCAGGTGCCATCCTTCTCAGAACTTCTTATTCTTGAATTCATTCTTGATTGCACTAGATATTTAAAAGCATGGGAATTGGAAAGTGCTTATTATTGTTGCTGGCTTTTTGGAAAGGCTATTAAATCACACAATGCTATTCAAGTCTGTAAAAAAAGCAACAGCAATGAAAAGGGTGAAGAGGTGTTATTTAATAGGAATGTTCCAATCTGCATGCATTTTTGACTGAATGCATTAATTTCAGACTTTGTGTGGTTTATTTCAAATACAATGAAAGGGGCTTTCCAAAAGAAGCCCTATCGGTAACTGGAAGAAGCAACTCTATTTTATAACAAACCCACGCTACTGTTCCCTAAATGTTGCCTACATTTCCTAGAAAATAATCCTCTCTGCTAATATGAAAAAAAAAAAAAAGCAGAACAAATAGAAGCAAACAAACAACCCCTGTTTCTCTGGTCTTCCATCAGAGGACAATGTCTATCAGAAAAAAAGGGGAAAGCCCCTATGAGTGTGCTATTAATATTTATAATGTTTATTTGATCACATGCATCTGTAACATCTGAATCTCCTTTTGGTTTAGGTGTTAAAGGTAGCAATGCCCAGAGACAAGGTTGCTTGGCATTTTCTATTTTAACTAATTTAGTTAATGCCAAGCTTAGCTAATGCTTAGGTAATTTGTCCACCAGGTATCTGATCTGTGCTGATCATGTGTGTGCGTTGCGTGGAGTTGAGGTGGAGGGGAGCAGAGAAGGTCTTCTAAGTCAGCGGTTATTCAAATGACGCTTGATACCTGGAGCAAAAGAATGCAGAGACCCAGCTAAGCCATGAGGGAAAGTCTCTTTAACACGTGCCCAAGACAGTCCTTCAGCATTGTCTATTCACTGGGCTGCTAACAGTGACAGCCTAGTAAAAAAAGTAGTAATAGAGTACTGTAGAAATAGCATTGTTACACACGCTCAAGCAAAAGTACTCATGACATTTTCTAATTTTGAAGTGGCTGATTTTAGTCTCATATTATACTTCTAGCATGGTTCCTTGTGGTTTTTAATATGTATGTTCAGTTGACATATCTAGCTGTATCAGTGAAAAAAAAACAGAGAGAAATGTCATCTCTAAACATCTGTCAAACAGATAAACGAGACCACTGAATTTAAAAGGATACACATTAAAATAAGCTTGTCTAAAATCTGTATTTCAGTGTCTGTCAGTGTTGCTATTTAGAGCATTGCAGTATGATGATGAAAAAAAACACTAAATTCTTGCTACTTATCTAGATGAAACACCACCAGACTTCACTAGGAGTCTCAGTAGTACCAAAGGCAGTGCGCATTGGGATACATGCTACATACTATGGGGGGTACTGTCCTGGTTTCGGCTGGGATAGAGTTAATTTTCTTCCTAGTAGCTGGCATAGTGCTGTGTTTCGGATTTATGATGAGAAGAATGCTGGTAACACACTGATGGTTTAGTTGTTGCTCAGCGCTGCTTATGCCAGTCAAGGACTTTCCAGCTTCCCAGGCTCTGCCAGGTGCACAAGAAACTGGGAGGGGGCACAGCCAGGAGAGTTGATCCAAACTGCCCCAAGGGCCATTCCATACCATACGGCGTCATGGGCAGTATAGAAACTGGGGGGGTTGGCCGGGGAGCAGCAATCGCTGCTCGGGAACTGGCTGGGCATCGGTCAGCGGGTGGTGAGCAACTGCATTGTGCATCACTTGCTTTGGATATTATTATTGTTATTATCATTATTATATTGTTATTATTATCATTACTATTTTACTTTATTTCAGTTATTAAACTGTTCTTATCACAACCCAGGAGTTTTCTCACTCGTACTCCTCCAACTCTCTCCCCCATCCCAGCAGGGCAGGGGCAGTGAGCGAGCGCCTGCGTGGTGCTGAGCTGCTGCCTGGGGCTAAACCACGGCAGGCACAAATAAAATGTGGAATTCTTAACAAATTAAAAAAGAAAATTAAAGCACTTACTATAATAAAGCCCAAAGAACCTCATGGTTAAGGGAAGGAAAGCAAGCAGTCACCAAGAATTACTTTCTTGACACCTCTCGATCTCTTTATGCATTTTAGCCACTGGAGAGCTCTCTTCCTGGGGATCTTGGAAAGTGACACTGTGCTAACAACATCCAGGGAGAGTGTTCAGGATCCCAATGATTTTAGGCATTGTAAGTGAAGCCAACGTACTAAACTTCTCTGGAAATCTTTCAGTAGCCCAGAGAGGACAGACAGGAGGGAGGGCAACACTGGTGCAATGTGATCTCATTGAGAAACATCACTTAGTGAGCAAGCAATCGGAGTTTGAACTAGCTGTAGCTGACAAAGTATTTGAATTTGTCTGAACATATAAAAAGGAATAAAATCTCATATATGCCAAGTTTGCCACAGATTGCAAAATTCTGTCCCTCTATGCCACTCTGGTACTTATACTTATTTTCTGGCACATACACTTCTCTTATTCTTAGTACTAAATATTTGTCAATCCATTTAATTATGTCCCATCAATCAAACCACTGCAATATGTTAAATACATTGCAGGTGTTCTTGATAACAGCATCTGCGGGGCTATACTGATTTAGCAATTTACCTTGGTGTATTTGTCCACTGCAATCAATAAGGAAGACGGTATGAAGCTCTTATTGCATACTTGTTAAAATGTAGCAATGGCTTAAAACAAGAGTTTCCAGCAGGAAAAAAAATGGTTATAATGAGCTGGGGTCATAATAAAATCCCAATACATAGGGGAAATCCCAAGTCATTTCAGTAACTGTAGTTTCAGTAGATGGACGTTCTCACAGGGTGTTTCTGTTCTCTAGTAAAAATAATAGAAAAAGAAATCAGCTTCCTTGCTTTATATAAAGTTTCATACATACGCAAAACAGCAATCTAAAATAAAAGAACAGACTAGTTCTTGTTTGTTTGCAACTTGGGACTTTTGTCTCAATCAGCTGTGGTCTTGCTGAGCACAGAAAATTTCTTGGCAATTAATGAACAACCAACAGAAGGAGATGCATCCTGGTCCGTTCCCAAGCAATGATACGGTTCCTTTTTTCTTTTTAAATTACAGAATATAACGTCAAAAAGTATTTACGTGAAACAGCCAGTTCCTGACTGTGGGAAG